TCACATTTTGTGGTCTGATACACCCTGATGAAACCCCTGAGACTACGCCCCTCACTGCTCTTCAGTCTGGAACTGAACTTACTCCTGCGGCTTCCAGCCAAACGAAAGACTAGCATATGGGCTGAAAATGTCCATCAGGTAGATACATTCCTTAGAGAGACCGTCATGGGAGAAGAGAAGGGCAGTGTATGCTGTTCTGGTTCCCTAGTGCCGCTCCGACAAATGGGATGGCCTTAACAAACAGGAGTTTATTTTCTTACAGTTTGGAGGCTTTAAGTCTGAGTTCCCAGTGCCAGGCTCTAAGGGCTGGGTGAAAGCCCCTCAGGCTTGGGCTTCAGCTCTGTCTCCTGCTTCCGGCCCACTGGAGCTAGAGGCTTTTCTTCACTCAGACAGCTGCTGACTACTGAGGCTGACAAGCCCAAGGTTGACAAATAAAAAGGCACGGCCCCAATGTTACCAAACCACATGACAGGCCATTCTTCCAAGTCCACTGAAAGTCCCAAGGTCAGCAGAGCATGGCAAGCTGCTGAACAATGACACGGCTACATGCAAGGTTCAAGCGTGCCACAAGCTAGAGACCATCCCAAAGCTGTTTCTTATATATAAGAAGCAGTCCACATACCCAAAGCAGCTACTCAGCTGCTCCAACAGATTCCACCATGGAGTTAATTACTAATCTCACCATGGGGAATAACTATAGTCAGCTGCCCAGCCACTCAACCAGGCCCAGCCAAGTTGACACACAAACTTAACTACTACATACGCACAGGGAGACCACTCAGGGGGCAGGAGTGCATGGGAGAAGACACAGGGAAGTAGTAACTATGGGGAGGAGGTGGGAACAGACCTGTTACATTGTGGGAAATTGCAGTCAATGTCATGAGACAAAATGTGTATGAACTGCTATATGGATAGAGCCAGCCATTCAGATTTTTGTTTGTGTTGTTCATATGAAAGGGAATAGTACGCAATTTCTCTGTCCTCTGTCCCTTGTCTCTATCTTCCTTACCTACAATGCATGGCTTGGTTTTTTTTTTTTTAATTTTTAGTATGACTTGGGTGAAAGTTTACAGAGCAAATTCATCTTCCATATAGCAGTTCACACAATTTTGTCTCATGACATTGACTGCAATTCCCCACAATGTAACAGCTCTCTTCCCACTTCCTCCCTGTAGTTACCTCTTCCCTGTGTCCTTCCCTTCCATGCACTCCCACCCATCCCCTGAGCTGTCTCCCTGTGCATACACTGCCCTTCTGTTCTCCCAAGACTGATCTCTCCAAGGAGTGTCTCTACCTGATGTAAACATTCACCCTATACGTTTGTCCCTTGTTTGGCTGGAAGCCACAGGAGTGAGTTCAATTCCAGACTTGAAGGGCAGCTAAGGGCCATAGTCTTGGGGATCTCACCAGGCTCTCTCAGACCAGCAAACCTGGTCTTTTTTTGTTCCACATTGTTTTCCCGGCAAATGGACACTGCTGAACAGAGACTACAGTTTTCATCATATTCTGAAAGGTAAAGAACTATTTCACTTGGACCTTATCCTAATACCCAGTTTTCTCATATCTATCAGTGGAGAGTTTTAATAACCTAATTCTACTCAAACCAGGAAACCTGGGTAGCCTAGAGGTTAGAGAAAAGCTTTTGAACATTCCCGATGTGGTAAAAAATAGTGATTACTAGAAAAGAGGCCAATGCAGACAGGTAGGACTTCCTCCTGTCCATACTCTAGCCGAAGTTACCTAAACAGATTTTCCCACATACTCAGATACCATGGTGACAAGCATCCTATAAATAGACAGGGGCAGCAGGGAGTAAGTCAGGGCTTGAATCTGTAAAACCAACAGTAGGGAAAGCTTATCTGACAAGGTTAAAGCTTCAGCTAATACAACTGGTTCCTCTTCTTCCATATGATCAAATCTGGGAATTCCATATGAGAATTTAGAAGAGAACTTCTGGCTGCCTCCTGAATAACAGAGAGCTATTGTAGTCAAACAGCATAGGACGAAAACCTAGCACTCAAAGTGCAGGGATACTAAATGTCCACATTCCAAACAACAAAAGGTATTTGGACCCTAGTGGATGGACTGTTTCTGTCTGTGTGTCCAATCTAACAACACACACCATAATAATCTTACTTATAAATAAAATTCAATGTTCAGTTACAGTTGCAGCACACGTGTGGGCAAGCATATATACACACATAATAAGCACATGTGCCATGATGAATTTCACATACCTTCCTCAAATCCCTAAGTCTAGAAGGCAAAGAAAGAGTGAAAACATGGGCATATCAACATATGAGGGGTAGTGACAGCCAAGGAGTGGGTGGATCCACCATAGCCACACTTACATTCACTACTTGCAATATTATACATTATTATGGGCTCTGACTGCATCGGATGTAGCGTTGTATTTTGCAGCTTTCCTTAACACCTGCCACTCAGTATCTCACTGTATACCCCATGGATGAACAAATGGAGCCAGGGTTCCCACCCAGTCTGTATGTAAAAAGGAGCTAAACTCACTTGACAAAGAACTCTAGTACTAATGCCTGTGCCTTAGAAACAAGCAGTGGTCTAAGCCACACTAACGATACTCACCTCTCCCCTCAAGCCATCAAAGTCTCAGAAAGCCAACCAATCAGTTCTGAGATAGCATATAATTACAGAGCTGAATGCAAAAGAGGGTACTCAAAGACAAAGTCTGCTGACCAGCACAGAATAAAGAATAGTCTGCTTTTTTAAAATGTTCTAGCCACAATGAGGAAATTCCAAGTGCCAGAAATGATAAATATGAAAGACACATTTAAATCTCTTTAAAAGATAACTGCCAGGACAATGAATTCTGGGGCTTATAACATCCATAAAAGTAAAATATATGATGAGAGGACTGAAGAGGCATTTCATAATGATCAAGGGGTCAAATTCATCAAGAGGACAGGAGACACAAGGTGAAGGTAGGAGAATAACGAGAAGTCCAGGGAGACAGACCAGGGTGAACAGAAGGTAATGTGAAAAAGACAATGGAATATGACAATAAGGAAGAGGACAACAGATGATGAGGATGGGAGAAAACCCAGAGAAATCACAGGGCCAGAGGTAGAATCGTTAGGTCAGAAATGAAAGGGAAAAGAGAAAACTTTGAAAAATGAGAATATAAAGAAAACAAAACCAGAGGAAGCAGAAGAAGTAGGCAGAAACAACTATTACAGTTTTTACTATAAAAGCCAGAAACTGAGTAAGGCAGAAACCTGTCAGAAATGGAAAATTCAAGTATTTCCCACTAGAATAAGCAATAGCAAAGTGGTAAAACCGCAGCCCGTCAAAGGCAGAAGACTTGCGAGACCCAGAAAAAAAAAGCAGTCCCATTGAGTTTCGGCTCTCACAAGTTTCACTGTCTACCAATTGCTTTGTAACTAAAAAGTGTAACTTCATCCCAATTATAGACATAACCATTTGTACTTGGTATAAATCTACAACTATGTCAACATCCACAGATTTGTATCATTTTGTGTTTCATCTTTAATCCTAGGTTTTTAAAGCATGACAACCACATAAGTATCCAATGGCCACAATAGTCCTTTGTGTTACAAAAAATTACTGCTACCTAAAAAAACTTTTAAAGAGCCCTGATGGCGCACAGTTAAGCACTTGGCTGCTAACTGAAAGGTTAGCAGTTCAAACCCACCAGCTGCTCCATGGGAGAAAGATGTGGCAGTCCGCTTGCATAAAGATCGCAGCCTTGGAAACCCTGCGGGGCAGGTTCTACTCTGTGCTAAGCCACTGAAGACACTGGATACAAACAGGTATAAAGGCAAAAAAAAAAAAAAAGGGTCTCTACGAGTCAGAACCAGCTCAATGGCAATAGGTTTGGTTTTTAAAACTTCTAACTTTAGTCATTCTAATCTCTTTTGATCTCTCTTTAGCTTTTCTGATATCCCTCAATCTCAAACTCTTATACAACCACAAAACATACCCTTCTCTCCAAAAATAGCAAAATACCACTATTGCCACTCAGTGTTATTCTTCTACTCCCCATTCACCACTACAGGCAGTAACTGCAAAGAACTTGCTAATCCATTAATTAAAGATCTCTACTTTCCATTATGGAGGACTAAATTTAGAAAGCCAAATTGGGTTGGGAGGAAACCATGAGCCACAACAAGCAAGATGAATTCCATGGAATGGGGCTGGGGTGCTGGCCTGTTTCTTATAAAGATTCTGACACTAACACACCCTCCTCTGCTGGGAATATAAAGAAGCCCTCCCGTGGGTGTGGCAACCATTCATCACTATAATCTTCTGCAGAAAATTTTATTGTACCATTGGGTCACAAAAGCCACAGGACCCATCAGCAAGCACTGCCTCAGGAAGTATGTCTCCTTTGCTTTCCTAAAACCTCCAATTTAGTCACACAAAAGAAAGGGGTGGCAAGCAAGCATTAATTGTACCCTTAGAGAAGAGCCAGTTTCCCCGCCTGCAGGGGTGGCAGTGACTTTACTGGGCCACCAAATGGATAAGGAGACAAAAGTAAACACTGTAATTTGCCGCTTTTGTCTCTGGCACAGGGGGAGTGCTACCATCGACACTGTCTGTAAACAGTAATAATGCCAGATGTAACACAAAGAACAGGATTCCCCCCATTTCGCACCCTCATCACCACCCCCTTTCCCTATGACATTCCTCCTGAGATTACTCAACTTGAGGAAACACATAGAAGCCTCCCTATAGTCCATATGCTGCTACCAAATGGAACAGAGGGAGAATCCAAGTTTGTACTAATTCATCCTATCTCACTCTCCCTCAAGGGAACTCAAGAAATACTCAATTGTTTCCATCCAGCTGACAAAAACAGAGGAAGGAGAAGGAACAGGACAGAACAGGTATGCAACACAACCAGGTATGAATCAGAAAAAGGCGGCAATGTCAAAAAATGACAAAAGCATAAATTAAAGTATATTAAACATACTGGAAAGAATGGATTCAAAAGTGGAAGTTACCTGACCAGAGTTCCCGCCAGGTGTAATGCAGGCGCACTCTACACTTCTTCTGGTAGCAAAGCAGTTTATGTACTACCTGAATACAGCGTCTACAAGAGAGAAAGAGGACAACTGGGTAAGCACAAGAACATGCCACAAACTCACCACCAGTACTCTTTCCTTAATGAGGCAGCTTTGCTAAACCACTGAAGACACTGGATACAAACAGGTATAAAGGCAAAAAAAAAAAAGGAACTTCTACCTGTAGCTCTTTTGATGGATAAGTACACACATACACAGTTTGCTCTACCCAGTGCCCTTATCACTGAGAAAAAGGGGCTGAAACCACATGTAAGTCAATAGTCAATTAGGCACCATTGATACCCTTCCTTTGAGTATCTATCCAGGAAGGATGTGATAGACACAAGATGTAAAATCACAAAACTACAGATCTTAAGCTTCTAGACCTATTTTTTAATCTAAATTTTAAATAAAATTTTAAATAAATTTATAGTTAACGTATTTATTTACATTAAAAATTACTTGAAAGTCTGTTCATCAAAAGACTTTATGAAAAAAGTGAGAAGATAAGCTACCAACTAGGAGAGTATCTTCTGAAATCATATATCCAGTAAGAGCCTAAGAACAAAAACATACATAAAACTTCAACAACTTAACAACAAAAAGACAAATAACTCCATTACAAAATAGGCAAAAGCCTTGAACAAACATTTTACCCAAGAGGACAAATGGCCACCAAACACATAAGAAGATATTTAGTACCTTTAACTATTAAAGAGATGCAAATCAAAACCACAGTGAGATACCATTTCACTCCCAGAAGGATAGTAGCCAAGATAAACAAAACAAAACAAAAAAATAGTAACAAAAGTTGGTGAGAATGTGGGGAACCTGGAACCCTTACACACTGCTGATCGGAATTCAAAAAGATATAGTCACAGAGGAAAACAGTGTGTCAGTTCCTAAAAAGACTAAAAATATAACCACCATTTGACCCAGCAATTCTACTCCTAATTATATACCCAAAACACTTGCAAGCAGAGACTCAACTCAGAGACTTGTACACCAATGTTCACTGCAGCACCATTCAGAGAAATTTGCATTCTAACAACATATAAGTTTTTGAGATTATTTCCAACAGACTTATGTTAAGGTGAATGATAGTTTTTAAATAATAAACATAAAAATATTTTTTCATTTCTGACTGGGATAGGATTTTGGAAGCTTAAAAAGCTATCATTGAAATTACAAAATAAAATACTGGTAAAAATTACTTCATAAAAATGAGACTCTTTTGCTTGATAAAAAGTTTTTTAATGATTGACACAACATCGGAAATTACATTTGTATTAACAAAAAATGGTCATTTCTTTATGGGGGGACAAAAATGATCTAATGTGGATTCCTTCATCCCCAAAATAAGGAAATATGAAAAGTTAACATTTTTCTATAATGTTCAACTTCATTTAAAAATGGCATATTAAAACAAGATTTTATTTTTATGAAATAATTAGAATAGATTGTAATGATGACAAAAGAACAGCAGAACAGCCACTCACACATTATCAAAGAAAGTCTAAACTGGCTTGGAGCCCTTTAGAAGGCAATTTCGCAATCTATATTAATAGTTTTTAAACACTTTAAAGAGGTGCTTTGCAGCAGATTTGCCCAGTGCAATATGACGTCTCCCGTCTTGACTGCTGCTTTCATGGGTGTTGACTGTGGATCCAAGAAAAAAGAAATCTTTGATAACTCCAATCTTTTCTCCATTTATCATGATGTTGCTTACTGGTTCAGTAGCAAGGATTTTTGTCTTCTTTATGTTGAGGTATGTTGTTGTTGTTGTTGTTATGTGCCGTCGAGTCGGCCCCGACTCATAGCGACCCCTCCTTGGGTTTCCGAGGCAGTATCACTACGGAAGTAGGATTGCCCAACCTTCCTTCCGAGGAGTGGCTGGTGGTCTATCCCAAAGGCTATAGTCTTGGATTTTATCCAAGTGCTTCAAGACATCTTCACTTTCAGCCAGCAAAGCTGTGTCATCTGCACACTGCAGGTTGTTAATGATGCTACCTCCAATCCTGATGCCCATTCTTCTTCATACAGTCCAGCTTCTTGGATTATTTGCTCAGCATACAGACTGAATAAGCATGGTGAAAGAATACAACCCTGACCTAAACTCTTCCTGATTTTAAACATGCAGTATCCCCTTGTACTGTTCTAACGACAGCCTCTTGGTCTGTATACAGCTTCCTCATGAACCAAAGATGTCACTTTGAAGATTAAGGTGTGCCTGACCCAAACACACATATGCATGTGAAAGCTGGATAATACATGAGGAAAACCAAAGAAGAATTAATGCCTTTGAATTGTAGTGATGGCAAAGAACACTAAAAATACCATGGAATGCCAGAGGAACAAAAAAATCTTCCCTGCAAGATGAGCTGGAATAGTCCTTACAAGCGAGCATGGCCTGGCTTCATCTTACCTACTTTGGTCATTGTCTTAATTCTCTAGTGCTGCTATAACAGAAATACCACAAGTGGATGGCTTTAACAAATAGAAATTGATTCTCTTACAATTTAGGAATCCAATCGTCCAAAAATCAGAGTGCCAGCTATAGGGGCTGGCTGAAGGCCCCCTCAACTTTGGACTTCAGCTCTGCCTTTTGTTCCAGACCCACTGGAGCTGGAGGCTCCTTCTAAGCCATGGAGCTTCTGGCTGCTGAGGCTGATGAACCCAAGATTAGCAGTTACAACAGCACAATCCCAAGATCAGCAGGCAACACGGCAGACCACTAGTTCAAGTCCAGGAAACAGAGATGAAGATTTGGCCAAATGCAGGAAAAAATGTGCCAAAAAGCTAGAGTCCTTCCTCAAAGCTTCTCCATGTATACTGGAAGCAGGCCAAACCCTGAAGGCAATGACTTAACTGCTCTTAGCAGATTCTACCATGGAGATGATTACAATCTCAGCATGGGGAATAACGACATCCAGCTGCCATGTCACTCAAAACCATGGCCCAGCCATGACGACACACAACCTTAACTACCACAGTCATGTTGTCAGAAGGGACCGATCCCTGGAGAAGGATATCATGCTTAGTAAAGCAGAGGGTCAGTGAAAATGAGGAAGACCCCCAGCACAATGCGCCGGCACAGTGGTGGTAACAGGCTCCAGCTCAGCAAGGGTGGTGGGGCTGGCACAGGGCAAGGCAGTGTGTGTGCTGTTACACACACAGTCACTGTGAAGTGGAGCTGATTCAAAGGCACCTAACAACAACATTAATAATTTTAACAGTGTTTATACTCTTTGACCAATTAACACCCCTCCAGGGGATTGAGCTTCAATCTAGAATGCAAAAAAACTTGACACAAAAAGTTGTGCATCATTATCTCATTTATAATGGAGGAAAGACGGAAACAACTGGGGAAAGAACGTCCAATCCTGGGAGAGAGGCAAGTAAATCGTAAATCATTACACATATATACAATGAAACTGTTAATGAGTACATTAAAAAAAGAAAAGAAAAAATTATATTCTTGAAGACTTTTTCACAACACAGAAAAATATTTATAAGTAAAAAAACAGCATGCAAAATTTACATAATTAAATATATGACAATGATAACTGTATTCAAATGCATAGTAAAATATTTTAATTTTGAAATTAACAGTGGTTGCCCTTTTGGGTGGTAGGATTATGGAAGTTCTGGTCTTATATATATATACATTTGTGAAAACTCATCAAACTATTCATCCCACTATACGCCATTTTTAAATCCTTGGAAATAAAGGAATGAAAGAAATGAAGGACGGATGCATACTAAAAACATAGATAGAAATTGAAACTATTATGTTAACTCAAAGAAGCCAGCTGCAAAAGGCACATATTCTATAACTCCATTCATATAAAATGTCAACAACAGACAAACTGATAAGAGACAGAAAGTACATAAGTGAATGTCTAGGGCTAGGGATTGGAGGGGAGGTGTTTTCAGCAGAGAAGATTTGGGAAATGACTGCTAATGGGTGTGGTGCAGTGAATTACTTGGTATGGCTACTCTAGCCATAGTCTTTGTAACTCCTACCAGATTACTGGGTGGGACCAAGCAAATAAGGTGTGTTGGGATTGGTTAGTTTTGTCCTTCTGCCAGTCTTAAAATGAGCCTTCCCAGAGGCAGAAAAGGGGCTCTCACTGCCATCAAGAGAGAAGACCAGACGGTGAAGGAAAGTGCACCCTAGGACCCGAGATCCCTGCACTGGACCTCCTTGGCTGAAGAGACGCCCAGCAGAGAGACATGGACCTGGGAAAGACACCCAGCTGAGAAACCAAGAGGCAAGAGACAGAGCAGCGGGCTTTCCAGCCCACTAAGCAAGAAAGCAGAGTGCCCTTGGGCAGGAGTCTTACTGGTGGAGTGGGATGTACCTAGGTGCACCTATCAGCAGAGCTAAAAGAGCTTTGTAACTACTGCCCGGGCAGGGAAGAGGCCAAGGGCCAGAGAGGCGAGCCACAGGGCATAGCAAAGGGAAGACTGTCTTCATCAAAGAATTGTATCCTGAGCGCATTCCTGAACCTGAATTGTAACCTACTGCTTCCCTAATAAACCCTATAATTTTAACTATTTCCTGTGAGTTCTATGTGGCCAATCCAATGAATTATCTAACCCAGCAGAGAAGTAGTGAGTGCCGTGAGAAGGGTGGTTGGTGTCAGAGTTGGTAAAAAAAATCTGGAGGGTAGCAGCATGTCTGGCCTCACTGGAAAAAGTCTTGGGATGTTGATGGTGAGCCTGTCTCACCCTTGTGAAGTTGGAGGAGGTCTGAAGATGTCACCCCCAAGTCCCTTTAGCAATGGGTATGGGAATTCTTTATGTCAGGAAAAAATGTTGCAAAATTAGAGGTGATTGTTGCACAGGCCTATGAATATACTAAAAATCACTGATTCTACATATTAAATAGGTGAATTATATGACATATGAATTATATCTCAATAAATTTGTTTTAAAAAACTTTGCCACTTAGGCTTTCAAACTGTCAGGAAATGCTAAGTTACAGTTTTCACAGTAATATTAACTTAATACAATCTATAGCTTG